TGCTACAGTCCTATTATTTTATGGTTATTACAAGTGTACCAGGACTCTAAAAGAAACTTGTTTGTATAATGCTATTCTATCCAAGGTATGTAGCCCAGAAAGTAACCAACCTGATGTATGTTATGACCCATTTTAAGCCTCTCATGATCACAGTTTTTAAAATAAAATTAAGGACTGCTCCTTTTCTAGGCAACACAAGTAAATAGCTAGGACAGAAGAAAGAGGGGACTCCAAACATATAATCCTAAAATTTAATGCTTGTGCCACTATCAATGGCAATCGGCATAGAATAAGATACAGTTCTTTAAGTCAAAAAAAAAAAAGTTACACGGCAGGAAATAAGTATATCTGTCATAAATTAACTTCATGTGCAAATGTGTGTAATTACTGGTCTTATGTCATCTAGACTACTTTAAAAAAGGATAAAAAAGATCCTGTTTAGCTCCAAAAAGGAGAAGGCAGCACCTCCTGTACCAGTGGAAGCTGCAACCCCTTAAAATTAATAATTACAAATCCCTTAATCCCAAGGTGGAAAAAAAAAAAAAAGGAGAACACGTATCTCTGGGCATCAATAGGAAAAGACTAGGTCCTACAGTAAATATCTTAGTAAAAGAGGGGGTTCGTAAACTCTCTCCAGAACCAGTATTTCAGACTTTCTATGATAAACTAAATGTGCCAGTACCAGAGACTCCAGGAAAAAACAGAAATTTGTTTCTGCAATTAGCCGAGCATGTAGCCCAGTCTCTAAATGTCAGTTCATGTTATGTTTGTGAAAAAACTGTAATAAGAGATCAATGGCCATAAGAAGCCTAAGAATTAGTGCCTACGAACCCAGTTCCTAATGAATTCCTGGCCCAAAAGAATCACCCTAATCATCTCTAGGTTCTAAAAGTCTCAATTATTGGACAATATTGCATAGTTAGAAAAAAGAAAAAATTCACTCCTTCTGTAGGATGACTTAGTTGTCTAGGGCAAAAAGTGTATAATGGTACCAAAAAAACCGGTTACATGGTAGAGTTCCAGTTACACAGAAAGAGATCCATTCAGTAAATTTCCAAGGTTGCAGACTGTCTGGGCGCACCCAGAATTCCACAGGACTGGACTGTCCCCACCAGGTTATACTGGATAAGTAGACATAGAGCCTACGCTAAGCTGCCTGACCAGTGGACAGGTAGTTGTGTTATTGGCACTATTAAACCATCTTTCTTCCTACTGCCCATAAAAACAGGTGAACTCCTGGGCTTCCCTGTCTATGCTTCCCTTGGAAAACAAAGCATAGCCGTAGGTAATTGGAAAGATGGTAAATGACCTCCTAAAATATTATATAATACTATAGACCTGCCACTTAGACACAAGATGGCTCATGGGGATACTGGACCCCCATTTACATGCTCAACCGAATCATACGGTTGCAAGCTGTTTTAGAAATCATCACTAATAAAACCGGGCAAGTTTTGACTATTCTGGCCTGGTAAGAAACTCAGATAAGAAATGCTATCTATCAAAATAGATTGGCTTTGGACTACTTGCTAGCAGCTGAAAAAGAGGTCTATAAAAAATTTAACTTTACTAATTACTGTCGACACATAGATAATCAAAGGCAAGTAGTTAAAGACATAGCTAAAAATATGACAAAACCAACACACGTGCCCGTACAAGTGTAGCACGAATTCGACCCTGAAGCCATGTTTAAAAATTAGTTCCCAGCACTAGGAGGATTTAAAACTCTTACTATAAAAGTCATAATAGTAATAAAAACCTGCTGACTGCTCCCTTGTTTGCTACCTGTACTTCTTCAAATGATAAAAAACTTCATTCCTACCTTAGTTCACCAAAATGCTTCAGCACAAGTGTACTATATAAATCACTATCAATCTATTGCACAAAAAGACATAAGTAACAAAAATAAGAGTGAGAACTCCCACTAATAAAAAGTGAGAGTCTCAAAGGGGGGAAATGAGGAAAGACAGAGACCCTCTCATATTGCTTTATATTGTTTTATACTCAGTACCTGTTTTAAGAAAAAACAAGGAAATAAACCAAAAACAGGCAGCCCAGCACCAGGCCCAAAACCCGGCCTGGGCCTGCCTGGCCTAAACCTAGTAGTTAAAAATCAACTCATGACTTAGAAACCGACGTTATCCATAGATTCCCGGCATTGTATAAAAGAACATTGTGAAACTCCCTGCTCTGTTCTGTTTCACTCTGACCACTGGTGCATGCAGCCCCTGTCACATACCCCCTACTTGCTCAAATCAATCATGACCCTTTCATGTGAAATCTTTAGTGTTGTGAGCCCTTAAAAGGGACAGAAATTGTACCCTTGGGGAGCTTGGATTTTAAGGCAGTAGCTTGCCGATGCTCCCAGCTGAATAAAGCCCTTCCTTCTACAACTGGTGTCTGAGAACTTTTGTCTGCGGCTCGTCCTGCTACACTAAGTCTTGAACTGCCTTTTTTTTTTTTTTTCTTCTCTTTTACAGAAAGACCAGACCTTACAATGTTTTTATTTTTTCTTTCCATTTTTCTTTCTTTTTAATGTTTTCGTAGAGATGGGATCTTGCTATATTGCCCAGGCTGGTCTCAAACTCCTGGCCTCAAGACATCCCCCCACTTTGGCCTCCCAAAGTGCTGGGATTGTCAAGGGCTCATTTGTTACACAGCCATAGCAACAGAAATTTAGGAACTGTTACATGTATACCTTCTCTTTAAAGTATTTGTTACATGTGAAACTTTACATTTGTGTGATTACTAGATTCCTATCCTGAAATACTGAAAGCTCTTAATAGCCAAATTTGCGTTCCTTTTTACCATTCTATTCCTGACACTTAGCAAGGTGCCTGGTAAATGATGCAGCCAATGCCAATTTACTCTCAACTTTCCTGCACCTCTTCACTTGTAAAAATAGAATGCATTTGGTCATTAATTGAATGCTCATTTATGTGATGAATGCTGACTGAGAGGCTGTGTCAGGGATTTATTAGAGATGGACACAAAACAAATATGAAATACAAGGGACTGAGGGGAGACATAGAAGGGGACTGGGAAAGCTTCCTGAGGGAAAGGGATATTTGGGCTGTGTTTAAAAGGATGTACAGGTGCTTTCTGAATAACAAAGAGGCATGACAGGACTTTTGGCAAAGGAAATGGTGAGTGCCAATGCTTGGGGCCAGGAAGCAGCCAAGTTGGTCAGGCAATGGTGTGAAGTTCTGCACAGAGGCAGTTTGCTTTGGTGGAAAATCCTGCAGGAAAAGGTTCCTAAGGACCAATTCTGACAGCCTGCAATGTAGGTGCTTAGATTTCATCTCATTAGAAATAGGAAGACCTTGGAGGTTTGAAAGCAGTGGTGGAATGAGTGGAGTTTTTTGTTTCTCTGTTTTTTTTAAGAGACAAGATGCTAAAAAAAAAAAAAAAAAAAAAAAGGCACTGTTATGCTTCCCAGGCTGGAGTGCAGTGGCAAGATCATGGCTCACTGCAGCCTTGAACTCTTGGGCATAAGCAATCCTCCTGCCTCAGCCTCCCGAGTAGCTGGGGCTACTCGTGTGCACCACCACGCTCAGCTAATTTTTTCATTTTTCATTTTATTTATTTATTTATTTATTTAGAGACAGAGTTTTGCTCTTGTTGCCCAGGCTGGAGTGCGATGGCACGATCTTGGCTCACTGTAACCTCCACCTCCTGGGTTCAAGCAATTCTCCTGCCTCAGCCTCCCGAGTAGCTGAGATTACAGGCATGTGCTACCAAGCCTGGCTAATTTTGTATTTTTAGTAGAGATGGGATTTCTCTGTGTTGGTCAGGCTAGTCTCCAACTCCCGACCTCAGGTGATCCACCCGCCTTGGCATCCCAAAGTGCTGGGATTACAGGCGTGAGCCACAGCGCCCAGCTAATTTTTTCATTTTCATTTTTTTTTTTTTTGAGACAGAGTCTTGCTCTGTTGCCCAGGCTATCGTGCAACGGCACGATCTTGGCTCACGACAACCTCCACCTTCTGGGTTCAAGCGATTCTCCTGCCTCAGCCTCCCAAGTAGGTGGGACTACAGGTGCCTGCCACCACGCCTGGCTAATACTTTTGTAGTTTTAGTAGAGATAGGGTTTCACCATATTGGCCAGGCTAGTCTCGAACTCCTGACCTTGTGATCCGTCTGCTTTGGCCTCCCAAAGTGCTGGGATTACAGGCGTGAGCCACCGCGCCCAGCCTCATTTTAATTTTTTTTAGTAGAGACGTAGGTCTTGCTATGCTGCCAGGTTGGTCTTGAACTCCTGACCTCAAGCAATTCTCCCGCTTCTGTCTCCCAAAGTGCTGGGATTACAGGCGTGAGCCACTACCCCAGCCTAGAGTTCTTGATAGTACCAGGGCTGAGAAAGTACCAGGGGTAGGAGGCTCCTAAACTGGTCCAGATGGGAAGTGATGAGGCCAAGGATAGGGAAGTGAAGGTGAGAGGAGTAGGAGTAACTCAAAGGCCATTTAGCAAAAATTCACCACGCAAGGCCCTGTATTAGGGCGCTGGGTGTTCATACTTCATTGTCCTATCAACTCTATAAAGCAGGGGCCAACAAACTTTTTCCATAAAAGGCAAGATCGTAAATACTTCAGGTTCTGCAGATCTGTAGCATCTTTAGCAACTACCTACTCTGTTGCAAGGCAAAAGCAGGCAGAGATGCTAGGTAAACGCGTGGGCGTGTCTGTGTGCCAATAAAACTTTATTCAGGGACACTGAAATGTGAATTTCAGAAACTTTTCACAGTTCATAGACTATTCTTCTCCTTTGGATTTTTCTCCCAGCTATGTAAACATGTAAAAATAATTCTGAGCTTGCAGGGCCGGACAAAGCAGCCGGTGGGTCTTGGTTCGCCTACCCCTGCTATATAAATCATTAATTATGATACCAATCATAAGGAGAAGATCTTCACGACTAGTCCCTCAAAGAGCACCGCCCCTCTAACATCATCAAACCCCGCCTCCAAAGGCGGAGGCTGCGCATGCGCGGCAGGCCCTCGGGCGGGGGCGGGGCGGAGCGCAGCTCCGACTTCGGACATGGCGCACGCTGGCGGCGGCAGCGGTGGCGGCGGCCCCGCGGGCCGGGGGCTGAGCGGCGCCCGCTGGGGTCGCTCGGGCTCCGCGGGCCACGAGAAGCTGCCAGTGCACGTGAGTGGCGTCCCCGCCCTCACTCGGGGACCCCATCCTCTGGACCCCGCGGGCGGGCGCCCCTCACCCAGGCCCCGCCCGACCCCGGCCCCGCCCGGCCCCGGCCCAGCCTCGGCCTCCCCTCTGCACGGCCCCGGACCCTTCACCCCTCACCGCTCACCTCCGCCCTCCGAAGGCCCAGCCCATCCTCTTCCCCTCAGGGACCCCGTCCCCTCGTCCCCTCCTCCCGCGACCCGGGCCCACCGGGACCCTCCCCCTCTCTGCAGGTAGAAGACGCCCTCACCTATCTGGACCAGGTGAAGATCCGCTTTGGCAGCGACCCCGCCACCTACAACGGCTTCCTGGAGATCATGAAGGAGTTCAAAAGCCAGAGGTACCCGCGGGGCCCTTTTCCACCTCGGGGGGCCCCCCTGGGCCGGAATCAGGCCTAGCGGGGTGAGACCTCCCATCCCCAGGCTGCCCCCCTGGGCCGGGTGACCTTGCGCAGGTTGTCGAATCTCTCAGAGTCTTAGCTCCTTCCCGTAACAAAAATGAAAATGGATAGTACCCACCTTGTGGAGCTTTGTGGGGATTCCTGGAAGCGGGACAGGGATCTGGGGGGAGGCAGGGAGGGCAAGGCCGTGCACACTCAAATAGAGTCAAATCCTGCCTCGATTTAATATGTTGATTTTAAAATTAGTTTTGTTCATGAAAGACTTCGTGGGACCCATTTTGATTTTTTATTTTCAAACTCTGTAAAATGTTATTTGTCTTGATGATTGAAATTATTGGCACCCTCTTCCCCTTTAATCTTGTCCTCAAGGTGCTTCTCTGGGCTTACTGTGGTCCCAGGCCTGCTTGGAAGTAAGACGCATAAAATGCTTAGTAAGGGAGCTGGCACACAGAAAACGTTTAAAACACATGAGCTGATTTTGCAGGCCCAGAATCAAGGAGGATTACAGATAGATGGGAAACGCTGGGATCATGCCCTTGTTTTTATAGGAGGCTCACTGAGACTTGGAGTGGGTAAGGGACCCACCTAAGTGGCAGAGGTGACACTAGAACTCAGACCCTCTGAGTCAGACTCATGGAGGTCATATCCTTACCTTACTGCTGCCCCCTCTTAGGAAACATGGTGGGGTTGGCCTGGTTTCCTTCCAGGAGCCCAGTGCTAAGGGCTGGGCTGCGATGCAACCTGAAGGGAGACTCCATCTCTCCCCTCCTATTACACGTTTCCCATACTTGGCGGTACCATTGGTATTTATGCATTGCAATTGTTTGCTCAGATGGAAACCTGTGTCATAGTCATCTCTATCTGATATGAAATGAGGGAATTTTTCACATTGCTTGGATGACTTTGGCCTCCTGCCACTTCTTGGAGTCCAGGCCTTGCGGTTGGCTCTCCTGACATCTTCAGAACCGAGAGTGCTCATTCTTGGAGTGTTTTGGGGGAGCTGAGCAATGTCAGTATTCTCTCATTCCCACCAGGAGGAAACAAGGAGCTCAGGCCTAGCCAGTCAGGAGATAGATCATAGTGTACAGATGCTATCACATGGGGCACTTTTTTTTTTTTTTGGAGACGGATTCTCGCTCTGTCTCCCAGGCTGGAGTGCAGTGGTGTGATCTTGGCTCACTGCAACCCTCTGCCTCCCGGGTGCAAGTGATTCTTGTGCCTCTGCCTCCTGAGTAGCTGGGACTGCAGGCGCGCACCACCACGCCAAGCTAATTTTTGTATTTTTAGTAGAGACAGTGTTTCACCGTGTTGGCCAGGCTGGTCTCGAACTCCTGACCTCAGGTGATCTGCCTGCCTTGGCCTCCCAAAGTGCTGGGATTACAGGCAGGAGCCACTGTGCCTGGTGGGTCACATTTTAGGTTCCTTTGTTGTCTGTTGAGAAGGTTTTTATGTGGCAGTATCAAGGGAGTGGGGAATAGATTACATTTTTCATTTACTTCCTAAGACCCTTTTGCCCACTTCCGTTGTTTCTTCTAGCATCGATACTCCTGGAGTCATCAGACGTGTCTCACAGCTCTTCCACGAGCACCCTGACCTCATTGTTGGATTCAACGCTTTTCTTCCCCTTGGATACAGAATAGACATTCCCAAGAATGGCAAGTTAAACATACAGTCGCCTCTGACGAGCCAGGTATGCTGCTACAGTGGTTCGGGTGATCTCAGCCTTCACTGCGTGTATCTTGCTACTCAGGTTGGGCCACGTGTCTCTCTTGTATCATTGCTAGAAAGCCACTTAAGCTCTGTTCTTTTTCTAGACATGCTCATTGCTTCTAGCACAAATCAAAATAGATATGGAAACACCTACACAAGCAGCCTCTGCCTCCCAAATTGATCTGTTTGGAAGATTTAAATCAAGAGGAGATGTCAGGGAGGTATCCTCCTAACACAGAATAACCACCCCAGCAGTTGCTGAGGTCTTGGCTTGAGGCTTTCCCAGCGAGCATACCAGGCAGGCTTGCCCTTGTATTTGGGTATGTCCTCGTCTGCCTCTGATCACTGTCAGTACCACCTACAAAATAAAGTGGTCGAGATGGTGTGTGAATAGCCACGTTTATGGTGGTTGTGTTTCATTGTTGATAGGATTATTAGCTCAGTTGGGACTCCTGGCGTGGCTTTGGTCCTTTCTTGGGTGATAGGTGCTGGCACTCCTTTTTTTTTTTTTTTTTTTTTGGAGACAGAGTCTGGCCCTGTCACCCAGGCTGGAGTGCAGTGGCGCAATCTCAGCTCAGTGCAACCTCTGTGGTTCAGGCGATTCTCCTGCCTCAGCCTCCAGAGTAGCTGGGGTTACAGGCATGTGCCACCATGCTCGGCTAATTTTTGTATTTTTAGTAGAGATGGGGTTTCTCCATGTTGGCCAGTCTGTTCTTGAACTCCTGACCTCAAGTGATCTGCCTGCTTCAGCCTCCCAGAGTGCTGGGATTATAGGCATGAGCCACCATGCCTGGCCTCTTTTTTTTTTTTTTTTTTTTTTTTTGAGACGGAGTCTCGCTCTGTCGCCCAGGCTGGAGTGCAGTGGCCGGATCTCAGCTCACTGCAAGCTCCGCCTCCCAGGTTCACTCCATTCTCCTGCCTCAGCCTCCCGAGTAGCTGGGACTACAGGCGCCCGCCACCTCGCCCGGCTAGTTTTTTGTAGTTTTAGTAGAGACGGGTTTTCACTGTGTTCACCAGGATGGTCTCGATCTCCTGACCTCGTGATCCACCCGTCTCGGCCTCCCAAAGTGCTGGGATTACAGGCTTGAGCCACTGCGCCCGGCCCGGCCTCTTTTTTTTTTAAAAAAAAAAAAAAAAAGACAGGGTCTCACTCTGTTGCCCAGGCTGGAGTGCAGTGGTGCCATCATAGCTCACTGCAGTCTCAACCTCCTAGGCTCAAGTGATCTTCCCGTCTCAGCCTCCTTAGTAGCTAGTACTGCAGGTGTGCACCACCATGGCCAGCTCATTTATTATTATTTTTTTTTTTGTAGTGACAGGGTCTCACTATGTTGCCTATGCTGGTCTTGAACTCCTGGCCTCAAGCGATCTGCCCACCTTGGCCTCCCACAGTGCTGGGATTACAGGAGTGAGCCACCATGCCTGGCTCACTGCCCCTTCTATCTCTGCGGTGTCTTCATGCTTGAGCTCACTAGTGCCTCTGAGAAAAAGAAAGCCTACTTAATATTTCCTTTTATAAGATGTCCATTGTCATTTTTTGCACCTCAGCACTATTGCCATTTAAGGCATAATTCTTTGCTGTTGGGGGCTTCCCAGTGCATTGTGGGATGTTTAGCAGGATCCCTAGCCTGCACCCACCAGACCTTCACTCAGTTCTGACAGCCAGAAATGTCTCCAGACATTGCCAGGTGTCTCCTTGGGGACAAAAGTGCCCCTGTTGAGAACCACTGGTGTAAGTGAACCAGCTCTCCCAACCTCCTCCAAGGCCTCACCCCGAGAGTTTTAGCAGGGAGTGTCAGAATCTACTGCTGGATGCACTTGGTAGGTCTTCCTTTGATGGAAGAGATGGTAGACTGTCCAGTCAGTTAGGGATCTGACACTCTGCAGTCAGTTGGAAAGAGAACAGCGAAGGGTAATGTGGCAGTGCTTTTGTATTAATTCTGTGTACAAGGTGCGTGTCAATTCTGCTGCTGCTCGGCCAGGCGCGGTGGTTCACACCTATAATCCCAGCACTTTGGGAGGCTGAGACAGGTAGATCACAAGGTCAGGAGTTCGAGACCAGCCTGGCCAACATGGTGAAACCCTGTCTCTACTAAAAATATAAAAATTAGCCAGTCACAGTGGCGCATGCCTGTAATCCCAGCTACTTGGGAGGCCGAGGCATGAGAATTGCTTGAACCCGGGAGGCGGAGGTTGCAGTGAGGAGAGATTGTGCCACTACACTTTAGCCTGGGTGACAGAGCAAGACTCCATCTCAAAAAAAAAAAAAAAAATTCTGCTGCTTCTCTGTGCAAGACCCTGTCCGCCGACAGCCTGTTGTCTCCTGAAAGCCAAGGAGCGAGTCTCAGTTTTTTTTTCTTTTTTGAGATGGCGTCTCGCTCTGTCGCCCTGGCTGGAGTGCAGTGGTGCAATCTCAATCATGCCCCCTGCAACCTCCGCCTCCCGGGTTCAAAAGATTCTCCTGCCTCAGCGTCCTGAGTAGCTGAAATTACAGGCATGCGCCACCATGCCCGGCTAGTTTTTTTGTATTTTTAATGGCCTGACCACTTGGTCAGGCCGGTCTCGAACTCCTGACCTTGTGATTTGCCTGCCTCTGCCTCCCAAAGTGTTGGGATTACAGGCATGAGCCACCGCACCCGGCGGAGTCTCAGCTTTAAAGGGAAACTTGGAAGCGTGTGGCCACTGAACTCCGAAGAGCCTTCGATTTCCTGTTTGCAAATGAAGCCCCAGGATCCAGATGTACTGCTAGCGCCTCAGACCATGAAAGCCTTAGCAAGATTAATCTCCGGAACAATTACGACTGCGGGAGAAAGCCAAGCTCGTTTGCAGTAGGAGCATCCATGAGAGCACTTTGCAGAGCCTGAACGCTGTGGAAACACTGGGTGTCGTTCCTGTCACTCATTCAGAAAGAGCCAGAGTGGAAAGATGTGAACTGTGCATCCTGCATGTGGACGCTGCCTTTCAGCAGAGTCCCTGCCCGTGGAGTAACTCGACTTTCAGGGCTAGATCATGACAGGCGCCACACTGTGGTTGTATTTGGAGTTGGCTCTTCCTTTAAGTAGCCGCGGGTCCCCAACCGTGGAGGGCTGGCAGTCTTGTCTCCCCGTAGGTGGCTTAGGTGACAATGACGACGGTGCAGGCCCATTGATTTGGGGAAAGGCTTGAAAAGAACTTTTCACTTAGTAGCTACTCAGCAGGGCCTTGGTCATCTTCCTGCAGCCCAGGAACAGTCATTTCCAGGGCTTCCTGTCTTAGCTGTAGAGGTTTGTTCTCTTCGGGGCACCTAGGAGCCCACTCGCTTCCAGTTGATATTGACACAGGTGCTGTCCGTTTTCCAGCCCTGCTTCCCAGCAGTCTGGGCTGTTGTTTGAGTGGCTTCAGCACAGACACATGAGAGATGTCCCAGTCCAGGCTGTGACTTGCGTGGCTTCAGGAGTCCTTTGAGCTTTCGGCTCCCTGGAGTCCTTTGAGAGGCCATCATCTGAAAGCCTCACAGGGTTTCCCACACACAGAGGCCCTGGTGATACTCCTTTTTTCTTTCTTTCTTTCTTTTTTTTTTTTTTTGTGACGGAGTTTCTCTCTTGTTGCCCAGGCTGGAGTGCAATGGCACGATCTCGGTTCACTGCAACCTCCGCCTTCCCGGTTCAAGCTATTCTCCTGCCTCAGCCTCCCGAATAGCTGGGATTACAGGCATGTGCCACTGTGCCTGGCTAATTTTGTATTTTTAGTAGAGATTGGGTTTCTCCATGTTGGTCAGGCTGGTCTCAAACTCCTGACCTCACGTGATCTGTCCGCCTCAGCCTTCCAGTGCTGGAATTACAGGCGTGAGCCACTGCACCTGGCCATCTTTTTTTTTTTTTTTTTTTTTTTTGCGACGGAGTCTTGCTGTGTCACCCAGGCTGGAGTGCAATGGCATGATCTTGGCTCACTGCATCCCTGCCTCCCGGGTTTAAGCGATTCTCCTGCCTCAGCCTCCTGAGTAGTTGGAATTACAGGTGCCTGCCACCACTGTCAGCTAAGTTTTGTATTTTTAGTAGAGACGGGGTTTCACCATGTTGGTCAGGCTGGTTTCAAACTCCTGACCTGGTGATCCGTCTGCCTCGACCTCCCAAAGTTCTTTTTTTTTTTTTTTTAGTTTAATTGAATTTTTTTTACTTTTTTATTTTTTTGAGACACCATTTCACTATCACCCAGGCTAGAGTGCAGTGGCGTGATCTCGGCTCACTGCAACCTCCGCCTCTGAGTTTCAAGTCATTCTCCTGCCTCAGCCTCCCAAGTAGCTGTGATTACAGGTATGCACCACCACACCCAACTAATTTTTGTATTTTTAGTAGAGACAGGGTTTTACCATGTAGGCCAGGCTGGTCTCGAACCCCTGACCTTAAGTGATCCTCCCACCTCAGCTCCCAAAGTGCTGGGATTACAGGCGTGAGCCACTGTTCCTGGCCTTTTTTACATTTTTAAAATAGAGACAGGGTTTCACCATGTTGTTCAGGCTGGACTCAAGTGATCCTCCTGCGTTGGCCTCCCAAAGTTTTGGGATTACAGGTGTGACCCACCACTCCTGGCCAGTATTTTCTCTGTTTCTTAGTTTTTCTAGTTTGACTGTTTTAAAGTATCATTTTTTCCCCCTCAGTTTATCACAAAGCCTGCTGGCTACTGACAAGTAGGGAGTGGCCCATAGGTCTAAGGAAGGTGAATAAGGGAGTCCCAGCCTCGGGCAGCCTTTGGTGCAGGGTGTCTTAACTTCAGTTTTGGGGGCTAGACTATTCTTTATGGCGAGGGGCCACCCTGGGCACTGTCTCCACCCACCAGTTGCTTCCAGATGTGATAACCTGAAGTGTCTTCCGTGTTGCTGAGTATCCCCTGGGTGTCGGAGTTGCTCCAGTTGAGAACACGAGTCTAAAGGGGAAAGACATACACAGGCCATGGTGTGTGGCCAGTGACAACCCAGGGAACTTGTAGGAAGGAACCGCTTCCTAC